CAATCTGTCCTGCCTTGGTCCTGCCCTGATAGTGCGGCCGTTGGAATCCTTCGTGATAGCGACGGTTTCTTTAATGTTTTGAGTTTGTAGGCGAGGGTTTTTGATCCGGATGGCCGAGTTTTTCCCTTGCATCCGTTGTTGTATGAGTAACTTAAGTAGATCTGGAGTATCCATGCCCCACTGATGGTTTGTCAATAGCTTGACGAACCGGGGAGGGTGTTCGTGTGTCTGGATACGAGCATGGTAGATCTGCTAGCAGCACGGGGGGGTACGTAGACAGGAGCATGCGTATGCCTGAAAAAGGCTATGTGTGGGCCCCCTTCCCCGTATTCGGGAGGGCCACTGCTTCCCTTCCTTTCCTCGCTCCCGCGGGTGCCTAATCAGAGAGAGTTAAGGCGTGTCTTCTCCTCCCAAGTACGGACATACCAACAGTGGTACGGTAGGGACGTATAGGAAAACTTATTGGGGAGCGTGTAGTATTCATTGGGGGCGTGCTTGAGCTCGTCAATTGTTCACGGCACCAAGTCAGGTTCACGCTCATCACGCTCCAAGTACTTAACGAATCTCCATGGATCTCCACCATTCCATCACACTCCCAAGGAAATCAGGAAGAAACGTCCTGTTCCTCCGCCCTCGTCACTGCAATTTCAGTACGTATACGTAAGATATCACCCATCATGCTATGCTAATATATATCATAGTCCCCACGTTCGCCAGCGCGAGGGAGCGGGCCGCTGAGTGGTGACGAGTGACTTTGAGGGCTGAGATTCACAAATGGTCAGCTGAAGGTGCCCTTGACAATGAGGTATCCTTGGCTGGCGCACCAATTCCGAATCCACGCTACATTGCCAGAAGGTATATTTTTTCCCGTTCGAAACTGGTGTCGATGTGTGTACAGTACGTGGGGTCCATATTCCTCAACGAAATACCAACCAGAGCCTCCAATGCGCGAAGCATGGCACATCCGATGTACAAACTTGACGTTGACCACGCTGTTCTACAGCATCGAACTACAGTACTCACATGAGAAGTAGGTAGGGCAATAGGCTGTTATTATGGAAAATAATGTTTGGATACACGTTGACTTGCGCCCGAACAGATAGTACTTGCCTATCCCGGTGGCTGACCAGATCACGACGGCGATAACAGCAAAGGAAACGAGCGATATCTGGACCATCAAGGATTCCTTGGCAAATTTCCCGAAGCGCACGCGCATAGCAGGATTGTACACGACAAGCAGCCGGAAGCATCTCATGACGTACACCCCGAGGTGAGCCGTGAGCAACATTGGCACCAAGACAAGATCAACCGCTGAGGAGTTCGGGCAAATCTGTAGGATGAAGCGGTAGATGAAGACGGTTATCATTATGAGCAACCCGACAATGTAGCTAGCACAGATGACCTGGGAAAGGGTAGATACAGGACATTTTGAGCGGTTGTTGAAAAAAACAGTCAATAACACTTTAGAAAGAACGAATTTTAGGCGTAGTCAATACTGTAGAATGAACGAATTCATGGAGTAGTCAATGTTGGTATGTCCGTACTTGGGAGGAGAAGACACGCTTTAACTCTCTCTGATTAGGCACCCGCGGGAGCGAGGAAAGGAAGGGAAGAAGTGGCCCTCCCAAATTCTTCAGGCATACGCATGCTCCTGTCTACGTACCCCCCCGTGCTGCTAGCAGATCTACCATGCTCGCATCCAGACACACGAACACCACGGCCTGTCATGGCCGAGCTGCTCTACATTCCCGACACGCAGAACTGAGCCACCCAAATTATCGATCACCCTAGCTTATGACACGTCGTCAACGATATTCGCGTCGAGCTTAGTTTCGAGTTACATCGCTTTGCGGCGATCAGCAGCAGTCACCGATGAGCACCCCCGACCAAAACCGAGACCGAGAGAGCGATCGTCAAGCAGTGGACGACGACGCCCGGATCAACGAGTTGGTGAACGAGAGGGTAGCAGCAAGACTGGCCGAGCTTAGAAGGCAGCAAGACAAGCAGCAGCAGAGGACAGATCACGTCCGGAGCGGGAACGACCACGAGACACGCCACCAGCAACATGCGGGGCGACCATCGGCCGACCCCTCCACAGACGACATCGACCGCACCCTCGCCGACCCCCTGACCAGCCGTCTTCAGATATCATCTGAAGGCATGGGTAGAGAACCAAGAAGCGCAGCGACTCTTAGGATGACTGAGGTTAAGCGCCTAGCGCCGTGGGATAGTGTGTGTATGCACTGGCAAAGTTTTTAATTTTCGATCAATATTGCGATGTTTGCGCAAGAAGGAGTTCGGGAAGTGGTATTGAGTGACCACAGACTTCCAGTTGGGCTAGAAGGAGTAGACATTGAGGACTTACGTAGTATGCACTCGCCTGAGACGGTAGAAAAGACGATCACGGCGTGGAATTTGATCATCACGACAATCACCTACATGCCTGTCTTGACCCAGATTATCGCTGATGGTAGTCCCAGTGGAGGTTGGAAACTATCTCTAGCATGCTACGAACCCCAGGCGAGAGCCGGGAAGACAAGATTTACTTCAGACTACTATGCCATCAAAATGCGATTGGGTGAAACTCCGCCAGAATACCTTGGCAGATTTGCTGTATTGAGCAGTAGGTTGGCCGCACACGGCGTCACATACTCTTACGATGATGCCAATTTGCACGTTGTGTACAACTTGTCTTCCGAGTTCAAGATGGAGAAAGACATGGTGCGTGCCCTTACGCCCCCCAATTTTACCCGTCAGCACCTTGAAAAGGTCGTGAAAGATGCCCATCAGGATATGGTGACCACACGGGAGGGGGAGCCGCAGAATGGCACGGGGCACGCTTTCGTCTCTGCCGGTGGGAACCGGGCGACGGACGTGTCCAAAATGGGTCCAGTGGCAACGGCGGGGGTCAAGACGGCAATGGAGGCGGTCGGGGCAGCAACAAAAGGGCGGACGGAAACAAGCGCTGCGAGTATCATCCGTACTCGTCGCACACCAACAGCGAGTGCTGCACCCAGCGTCGGCAACGGAAGGAGCAGCAGACCAAGCAGCAGCAGCCTCAGCAACAGCAGCAGCCTCAGCAACAGCAGCAGCCTCAACAACAGCAGCAGCCCCAACGACAGCAACAGCCCCCGCAATATTAGCGGCCTCAGCAGGAACGGCAACCTCGGGGACCGCCGCCGCAGCAGCCGGGCCGCAGGGGGGGAGGCTGGGGGGGTTGGCCCCAGCACGGGCCTCACGGCGGCTACGGAGGACAGCAGCATCACGGACATCCAGCTCCCCCTCGTACGCCAAAGCAGCAGTGGCGGCCCCCGTACGGGCATGCAAATGTGAGTCGACCGTATGGTGCCGCGCCCCATGGGGGGACCGCGTATGGCAACGAGTATGGGGGGTGGGAGCAGCTGCAACCTTCGCCAGACTACAGCTACCAGCAGCAGCCATACTACCCGCCTCCGACACCGTACTACCAGCAGCAGCAGCAGCCACCGCCGCAGCCTCCTCCACCGCCGTCGTTCCAGCAGCAGCCACAACCGCAGCTGCAGCAACACTCGACCCATGCCCCGTCCCATTCGCCTCCTTCCGACGCAGCCGGATCCCCTGGGCATCTTCACTTCCTGAAGACAAGTTTTGTGTCACAAGGCGAGATCTTCCCAAGTGTGGTAGCGCGTGAGAATGGTAGTGGTTTCGCATTGTCTGTTCAGAGTCGCCCTTCGCAGATTCGTAAAGAGCAATTTTGGGCCGACAGCGGCGCAAGCAAGACGTTTGTCAGAAGTAGCCAAAGCATGTTAGACATGAAGCCGATCCCAGCAGAAAAAGAGTTCATCCAAGTAGGGAATGGTGCCTATCTGCGCGTGCAATGTGTTGGTAGCATCAACACGGCATTTCACATGCCCGGCCCTTCGGGCGAGACCGATTTTTGCGTGCATATGTCGGACGTGTACGTCGTCCCCGGCTTCACGTTCAATCTGTTTTCTCTGCACCATACGCAGCGTAGGCAGAAAATTACGTTGGATGAGAATGGCGTGCATCCATTCAATGACCAGCTTTCCTTTGCTTACTCCGATGTAGGATGTTTTCTTTGGGCCACTCGCTTGCCTCCGACGTATACTGGTAGTGCTGTGACCCTCGGTCCTGATGCACTCCCTCGTGTGTCTCCCCAAACTCCCTCGCCTAGCGTTGGAACAGGCCTTGTCGTGGCGAACCCCCCTTTCCCCCCAAACACAGGAGCGGGCACGCTGCGAGTACGAGCTTCCCTTCCACCGGTGGAGTCGCTGCCGGTGTTGGACCTTCGAGTTCGAGTGCGAGTCCGAACTTCCGGTCTTCCGGTGGTGCCGCTGCCGGCGTTGTACCTTCGTCTGCGAGTGCGACTTCGAGCTTCCCATCCACCACGTCCGGTGTAGTACTTCCGCGTTGTGATTTCCCGCCAATCGACGTAGATGTAGTGCCAACGACTATTTGCCGACTTCCAGCCTGTAATCACGGCTGCCGCAGCATCGTCTTAGATTGTCTCTCCCTTCGTCGTTGACCCGAGCGATTTTCGTGAAGTTGTGATCGACCCCCTCATCTCCCAGGACCATTTGCCTCTCATGGATATGAGCATGTTCCTTGATGTAGGCCTGATGGATGGAAAAGACTCGGTCCCACAGGGTGATTTCTTCCCGGATGCGCTTAAAACTTGCGATTCAGCGGAACCCCCCCCCCCGCTTTTGCCGTCATGAGTGATGACTTTGAGTGCCTGAGAGGTTTTGTTGCTGGATGCAGTGAGCAGCAAACCGTAGCTCCCCCCTCCCTCTCGCATGCCTTGGTGATTATCGCCCCCGGTGCTTCCCCATTTTCGGTAGGGAAATCCACGCCAACGATCGATATTAATTTGCTCCATGCCTTCGCCGGCCATGTCAACGAATTCTTGATGCGTGAAACGGCCAAGCACCAGGGCGTACGATTGGTGGGGGAGATGCAGGAAGCCGTGTGTGGGCTGCGTGGAAGCGAAGGGTAGACGGGCCCCGGTGCCGCGGCGTGGCACCCGCGCTGCGGTACCGTTCGGCAAAGTCCACATCGACCTCACGGGCCCGTTCTCTGACTCGTTGGACGGCTCCCGGTATCTGATCATGTTCATGGACAGCGCATCGCCGTGGCATCGGGGGTACGGGATGCGGGCCAAGAACGACACCCTGAAGTTCGTGCAGCGGTTCCTCGCCGACATGAACGGCATGGGCACTCCGGGGTGTTTCCGCATGGACAACGGCGGCGAGTTCAACGGCTCCGTGTTCACCTCGTTCTGCGACGCTGCTGGCATTCGGCGCGAGTACGCCGCCCCCGACACCCCCAACCAAAACGCGGTGGTCGAGAGCGTCATATGGCGCGCCATGAAGGAGGGGCATGCCGCGCGCCGCCACATCCTCGCCATGGGCCATGTCGACCTCTCCTCCATCCCCAACGTCGGCGTCAACGGACATCGCCTGTGGCTTGGCTCGGCGCTGTGGGCATCCGCCTGCTTCAACCGCTCCGCGACGAAGGTCAACCTGGGCTGGATGTCGCCGTTCGAGGCGTTCTTTGGCCAGAAGCCGCCCCTCACCGTCGTCCCTTTTTTCCAGGAGGGGAAGATGCGCGTGAAGCGGGCCACCAAGGCGGACGTCCAATCCGCGCGGTGCTTCTACCTACGGCACCAACAACCACTCGACGTCTACCGCAGTCGTTCTACGCGCTGACACCGGTCGCCTCGCCCTCACCAACAACTTCGTGTGGGTCAACCGCCGGGTAGGAGCGCCGGCGCCGGTGCCGGGCATCGGGGGGGTTTCTTCGGTCACCGCCGCGCCCTCATCGGCTGCCGCACCGCCGCCGCCCCCGCCATCAAGGACAAACAAGTACACCCCGCCTGCACCAGCGACCACCGCACCGCCGCCGCCCGCTTCTCCGTCGATCTTCACAGGATCCTCCGCCCCGTCGCCGATCTCCGACGCCCCATCATTAGCCCCACCGTCGACCGCAGCCACGCCGCCCCGTTCGCCCCCGGGCCTGCCGCCGCCGCTGTCGCAGCCCGTCAGCGCCGCCGCCCCCGCTCCTCCGCACCCGCCGCTTTCGAAACGAGCCGTCAAGGAGTTGGGACGAGAGGACACGAGGATACACGGCCGCACGCGCGGCGATGGAGTGCGGTTCATGGATGAGCGACAACACCGCCTTGGTCTTTTAGCGATGATGGACAAGGAGTCCCTCATCTCGTTGCTGGCTACCCGCGAGGCCGTCGACCAAGGACGCTGTGACCCACCGCCTCCGCCGCCACCGGATCCGAGCTTTTGAGGCCGTGAGAGCGGGGGGGCCGTGGGAGCTGGGGGGCACGTGGACTCAGGGGGGGGGGTGAAGGCCGCACATGTTCGCGTCGATGTCCGCCACCCGCGAGGACGTGGACGCTGCTCTTCGCGCCGAGCGTCCTCCTGACAAAATGCCGGACCTTCCTCACTGCCTCGCCAGCGACCTCCGAGTGCCGAAAACGTTGAAGGAGGCCATGCGGTCTCAACATTCAGAGTTGTGTGATGATGCAGTCGGTTGAGAGTTTTTCGGGCTGTTGGATGCAGGAACTTGTAGTCCGGTGTAGCAACCAATAGAGAACGCGATCAATGCCAAGTGGGTCTTTAACTGTAAGGCAGACGAGTACGGATGGCCGACGAAATTCAAGGCAAGAATTGTAGCGCAGGGGGACATGCAGAGGGCTTAGATTGATTTTGGAGAATTATTTGCACCCACCGTATCAGTGTCTAGTGTGCGCTTGTTGGCAGCATTAGCATGTGAGCAGAATCTTGACTTGTGCCTATTTGATATTCAGCAGGCTTTTGTGCATCTGAGCTTGACGAGGATGTTTTCATGCGACTCCCGCAGGGGTGTGGTAGGTTATCTGGCCTGATCGTGAAGCTGTGCAACAGTCTGCATGGTTTGAAGCAAGCATCACGACATTGGCATGCGCACCTGACGAAGTGTTTGTCGCTTTAAAGTTTTTGCAGTGTCTGGTGGATGCATGTGTTTTTCGATTGATGGAGGAGGGACGTGTGATCATGATCATCGTGGTCTACGTGGATGACATTTTTGCTGTAGGACAGAAGGTGAGGTGTGACAAGTTTGGCAGGCATCTCAACGAGATGGTCCGCGTGAAAAACCGTGGAGAGTTGAGGTGGTACTCCGCGTGCTGTTACGAGAGAGACGTAGAGAGGGGGCTGCTGAAGATTTTACACCAGAGGTTGGCCGAAGAGTTGGCTGTAGAGTATGGCGTTGAGTGGGGGCAGAGTGTGCCTCTGCCTGTTAGCGTAAAGCTCTCCGACTTTGACGTGAATGAAGTCAGTGCTGATGTCCCTTTTCGCGAGTTGGTAGGATCCCTGACGTGGTTGGCCACTCAAACAAGGCCGGACATCGCGAATGCAGTTCGAGCAGTAGCGCGGTATTATGTGTCTCCCAAGATGGTGCACTGGAAGGCAGCATTCGGTATTGTAGGGTACGCACGCAGGACGAGTTGGATGGGGATTAATAACATTTGAGAGGGGCGTCGTGACAGGTATGAGCATGCAGGTGTTTGTGGATGCCGACTATGCAAGCAAGGCGGCCGACCGGAGGTCGGTATCANTGTGCCTCTGCCTGTTAGCGTAAAGCTCTCCGACTTTGACGTGAATGAAGTCAGTGCTGATGTCCCTTTTCGCGAGTTGGTAGGATCCCTGACGTGGTTGGCCACTCAAACAAGGCCGGACATCGCGAATGCAGTTCGAGCAGTAGCGCGGTATTATGTGTCTCCCAAGATGGTGCACTGGAAGGCAGCATTCGGTATTGTAGGGTACGCACGCAGGACGAGTTGGATGGGGATTAATANGGGATTACATTTGAGAGGGGAGTGGTCACTGGCATGAGCATGCAGGTGTTTGTGGATGCCGACTATGCAAGCAAGGCAGCAGACCGTAGGTCGGTCTCAGGAGGACTAGTGATGTGTGGGGGTGGGTGTGTGACTTGGTTTTCGAGGACGCAGAAGTGCGTCACGCTCTCCACAACGGAAGCAGAGTATGTGGCAATTGCCGACGTCTTGAAGGAAGTGTTGTTCTTGAGGCAGATGTGGCGTTTTGTATTGCCAGATGCAGGTATTGTTCGTGAGTCTGCGAACATAGCTGTTGGATACATGTGCTGGATGATTTTGTGTCACGCAGACTGGTAAGATAACCGTTTGATAGGGGGCACCGCGATGATTCACGGGGCCCCTCCTTGCTGTGGGAGCCGCTCTTTGAGCACTCCCTCTTTCGTCCGTGTGAAGGACGGTCGTCTACCTCCCGTGAAGTTAATACATCACCAAAACAGTCTCACCCGATAGATAAGTGGCGTAGGCCGCAAACACTCTAGAGTTTTGCCCCTCGAGGGAAGCCACATCGGGATGAGCTCTGCTGGAGACGAAGAGCGCGCTGCTGCGAGCGGAGAACAGATCCGCCCGCCGGTGCAGGAGGGCCGCGACGCCAAGCTTGCAAGTTTGCAACGGCAGATTTCGCAATTGGCGGCCCTGGTGGAGGAGTCGGTGAAGAAGAAGGAGCCTGGCAGCGTCGTGGCGGATGCAGCCAGTAGGGGTGGCTGGGTTGCTGCCCCCAGAGGCCAACGAGAAGAGCCCACGCTGCCGCTCGGCGGTGGCGGGGGATTTCTCCAGCAGCAAACGAGAGATAGTGGGCAAGGACCACGGCCGCTGCTGGAAGGCGGCTGGGCCAGCAGATCGGGAGCGAACCCTGTTGGACCAGCCGGAGTGGGCCCGGGCATAGGACCGGACTACGGGGAAGCGAGGGGGTTAAACCCCCCAGGTGAGATACCCGTGATTCGAGGAAATGGAGAATACCTCGACGGCTACAGCAGTAGCCACCAGAAAAGAGTGACGGTCTATGCTCCGCTCCTACGTAGACGGAAAAAGCCGTAGCCACGGATTTGACTCGTGGCGAAAATCATTCATCCAAGCTGCGAAGACCATCGACTTGGACGGGCTGTTTATAGGAGATGCAGAGAGCAGTATCCCCGTGGGCGACCCAAACTTGCCGACTTCCGAACTGCTCCGTAGGGGGTACACAAGAGCAGAAGTCCAACGAGGGCTTCAGGCGTTCCACTTTATCACTACTGCTGTGGGAAAAGCAGCTGACAAAGCAATCGTCAGCAACTGTACGTCAGCGCACGAGGTCC